GAATGGGGCCGTGAACCACAAGGTCAGCAGCTTGAAACCATCAGCCCCACTAGGGGAGAAAGGTGACGCACTCTGCTTCCGCAAAGACCTACATCCTCGGAAACCCCGCACATTGTTGCCTGGATTTGGAACCTACTCCGCAGCACACAGCCACCAAGGGTCCTGCACAAGTCCGTTTTAAGGCTGTGTCTTTGCGGCTGACGTAATAAGTAACTGTCAAGCTCCTTGTCTCTGTACCATATGTAAACTGTGGGGTCAGCGCTGGAACTCTTTTTTGGGAAGGAAGGGTGTGCAGCCACCTGTCTGATGGTGTCTGGACTGTGCAAAGAAGGTGCGTCAGGGAAAAGGAGGGACAAATGTGTAGTTTCCCGTGCCTCTTTTTGAAAATGTCTTTGCACTGCTTTTAGCGCTGATTCCCTGAGCTAGTCTGGTTATAGCCCCTCCCTCTAAACTCTGCCATGATGGGGTGGTCAGAGAGGGAGTCCCGTGTCCAGATTCATAACTGACAGTATTTTCCTTAATAATTGTGCTTTTTTCACTTGTGAGTGTGGGAAACTGATATCCTGGACCTTATGGAAGATCTGGAGCTCTGGAATTGTTCTATGAGTGCTTCCTCTGTGAGATCCCAGTCCCTCCACCACGGACACTTCCCTACCTGGCTTTCTCTACTGCCACCCAAACTGGAAGTCTCCTGCAAACATCATTTTTAAACAACATAAAAGACAACTGTACCCATAGACTGCACTAGGTGGAATGCACAGAAATCTAATTGACTACCTCTGTGGAAAGAGACAGTGGAAATGCTCCATATCATCAGCCAAAACAAGACCATGGGAAGACTATGGAACAGACCATCAGTTGATCATATGTAAGTTCAGCCTGAAGCTGAAGAAAATTAAAACAAGTCCTTGAGAACCAAAATATGACCTTAAAAATACCCCACCTGGATTTAGAGATTATCTGAAGAACAGATTTGATGCATTAGATATTAAAGACTGAAGACCAGAAGAGTTGTGGGATGACACCAAGAACATCACACAGGAAGAATTCAAAAGGTCATCAAGAAGACAGAAAAAGAAGGAAAAGACAAAATGGATGTCAGAAGAGACACTAAAACTTACTCTCCAGTGTAGCGATGCTAAAGCAAATGAAAGAAGTGAGGACATAAAAGAAAGGAATAGAAAATTTCAAAGGTCAGCTTGAGAAGACAGTCAAATATTATAAAGAAATGTGCAAAAACCTGGAATTAGAAAACCAAAAGGGAAGAACATGCTCAGCATTTCTCAAGCTGAGCAAATGGATGAAAATATTCATGCCTTAACTTTAAATATAGAAGGATGTAAGAAATACACATAGTCACTGTACTAAAGGAAATGGTCGATATTCAACCATTTCAAGAGGTAGCATATGTTCAAGAACCAGTGATTCTGAAGGAAGAAGTCCAAGGTGCATTGAGGAATTATCAAAGAACAAGGCACCGGAAAGTGATGAAATAAAAACTGAAATCTTTAAACAAAGTGAGGTGGCACTGGAGGCACTCACTCATCTATGCCAAGAAATTTGGAAGATAACTTTCTGGCCAATTGATTGGAAGAGATCTGTATTTGTGCACAATCCAAAGAGAGGTGAAATCATTGGACAATATCAAAGATACTATCTAAAGGTAATACAGAATTATCTAAAGGTAATACAGAAATGGCTACAATCATACATTCACAGAACTTCCAGAGGTTCAAGCCAGATTCAGAAGAGGACATGGAAGACATGAGATGGGTCTTGGCTGAAAACAGATAATACCAGAAAGTTGTTTACCTGTGTGGATCTTGGCTGAAAGCAGAGAATGCCAGAAAGACGTTTACCTATCCTTTATTGACTACACAAAGGCCTTCGATTGTGTGGATCTTGAAAACCTATGGACAACATTGCAAAGGATGAGTATTCCGGAACACTTAATTGTGCTCATGAGGAACCTGTACATAGACCAAGAGGCAGTTGTTCAAACAGAACATGGGAACAGTGCCTGCTTTGAAATTAGGAAAGGTGTATGACATGGTTGCATTCTTTCACAATACTTATTCAACTTGTATACTGAGCAAATAATCCTTGAAGCTGGGTTATATGAAGAAACATGTGACATCAGGATTGGAGGAAGACATTAACAACCTGTGATATGCAGATGATACAACCTTGCTTGCTGAAAGTGAAGAGCATTTAAAATATCGATCAAGATCAAAGACCATAGCTTCTGGTATGGATTGCATCTCAGTGTAAAGAAAACAAAAATTCTCACCACTGGGCCAATAAACAACATCCTTATCAATGGAGAAAAGATTGGAGTTGTCAAAGACTTCATTCTTCTTTGATCAACCATCAACATTCATGGAAGCAGCAGTCAAGAAATCAAACGACGTATTGCATTTGACAAATCTGCTGCACAAGACTTTTTTTAAAATGTTGAAGATCAAAGATGTCAACTTAAGGACTAAGGTATCCCTGACCGAAGCCATGGTATTTTCAGTAACCTCATATGCATGTGAAAGTTGGACAGTGAATAAGGAAGATTGTAGAAAAATTGATGCTTTTGAGTTATGGTGTTGAAGGAGAATATGGAAAGTGCTGTGGACTCCCAAAAGAACAAACAGATCTGTGTTGGAAGAAGTATAGTCAGAGTGCTCCTTGGAGGCCAGGATGGCCCAACTTTGTCTCTCATACTTCAGATATATTGTCAGGAGGGACCAGTCACTGGAGAAGGATGCCATGTTTGGTAAGGTGGCAAAGTTGTAGCATCATTGGGCTCAAGCATGGCAACAATTGTGAGGCTAGTCCCGGACCAGGCAGTGTTTCTCTGTTTTGCATAGGGTCGCTATGAGTCGATACTGACTTGATATCACCTAACAACAACAATGGTAAAATATTGAATGATGCGGAAACCATCAAAAAGAAAAAAAGAAGGAATACACAGAATCACTGTACAAAAAAGATATGGCTGATGCCATCCATTTCAATAGGTAGCGTATGATCAAGAGGCAATGATACTGAAGAGAGAATTCCAAAGTCCATTCAAGGTATTTTGAATTAATGGAATACAAATTGAAATCTTTCAACAAACTGATGCAGCACTGTTTCTATGCCAAGAAATTTAGAAGACAACTACCTGGCCAACTATGTAAAAGATCCATATTTGTACATATTCTAAAGAGAGGTGACCCAATGGAATGCAAAAATCATCAGGCAATATCATTAATATCACATGCAGGTAAAATTTAGCAAAAGATAATACAAAAATGTATGCAACCATACACTGACAGAGAACTTCCAGAGTTTCAAGCTAGATTCAGAAGAGGATGTGGGATGAGGGATATCGTTGCTGATGTCAGATGGATCTTGGCTGAAAGCAGAGCATACCAGAAAGATGTTTACCTGTCTTTTATTGACTACACAAAGGCCTTCGATTGTGTGGATCATGACAAACTACAGATAACATTGCAGAGAATGAGTATTCCAGAACACTTAATGGTGCTCATGAGGAACCTGTACATAGACCAAGAGGCAGTTTTTCAAACAGAACAAGAGAACACTGAATTGTTTAAAATTAAGAAAGATGTGTGCGAATGTTGTATTCTTTCACCATACTTATTTTATCTATATGCTGAACAAATAATTTGAGAAGCTGGATTACATGAAGGGAAACATGGTAGCAGGATTGGAGGAAGACTCGTTTACAAGCTGTGATATGCAGATGATACAACCTTGCTTGCTCAAAACGAAGAGGACTTAAAATACTTACTGATGGAGATCAAAGACCGTAGCCTTCAGTATGGGTTGCACTTCAATGTAAACAAAACAAAAATACTCACCACTGGACCAATAAGCAATATCTCTATGAATGGAGAAAACATTGAAGCTGTTAAAGATTTCATTTTGCTTTGTAAACTTTCACCAAAAACACAATAAAGTAATTTTTTTAAACTCTAGGATATGAAGGGCTTCACAATGTTTGGGGATAAAGGGAATTAAAAGATAATGGAATTTTTACACTAACTTTTTGAAGTGCCCTTGTATTTATGTTATTATTGATAGTTATCATCTGATTCATGGACAACCCCATGTATGTCAGACTAGAACTATGCTCCATAATGTTTTTGAAGCTTAACAGATCTCCAAGTCTGTCTTATGAGGCTCATGCATATGCATTGATTTGAACCACCAACCTTTTGGCTAGTAGTTGAGTGCTTAACCATTTGGGCCATCCTGGGCCTCACTAACTGACACACACTCTTTCTACATAGACATAAAGGATCATTAGGAGACAGATTTGACTCAGTGGCAGTGGGCACATATGAAGGAGTCCTGATGTGGCTCTGTGGCTTAATGCGCTGGATTGCAATGTCAATTTGAACCACAAGGTCGGCAGTTCAAACTTACCAGCTGCTCCTCAGAAACCCTATATGGGGGTCACTATGATTCTGAACCAACTCGAAGACACTTAACAACCACATATACAGGAAACCCTCTCTACAGGGTCATTGTGAGTCAAAATCAACTCAACAGCAATTAACAACATATATATATGAACATATATATATATATGTATAAGGAGCTCTGGTAGCGTAGTGGTTACGAATCGGGCTGCAAACCTTAAGGTCAGTGGTTCGAAACTACCAGCCGCTCCGCGGGAGAGAGATGAGGCTTTCTACTCCCGTAAGGCTTTACACCCTCGGAAACCCTGTACAGGGTCGCTATGGGTCAGAACCGACTCGAAGGCACTTAACAACAACAAATATATATGTATACATTTGCTTATCACTTTATGACTATAATAATTACACATATTGCTCCTGTTTTGGCATTTACTTTTCTTACATTGCTTTTTCTCTTATTTCTAATAGAAAAAAAAACAAGAAAAGCTAATGTGATCTTACAAGTAAGCAGGAAAATATAAATACAGTTTATATAGCTCTTCAAATCATCTTGTAACAAGTGTTCATTCTTTTTCTTAGACCAGAAGATCAATTCAGAAGTTATTAGAATGGGAAAATAACAGATTATATCACAAGGTAAGAAGGTTTAAAATAGTAAATTTTCTATCTGTACATTTACATTATTAAGTTAAAAAGACTAAATACTAAATGGAAATTCTTCAGGCCAACAAAAGAATGGATTTGATTGTGAACTAATACTTTTTTTTTTTTTTTTTTTTTTTTTTTAGCTATCCTGTCCTTATTTAATTGGAAATTTGTTTTTGTATACAAAAATTAATTTCCAGTAAATTAAGTAAATCATAATCAATGAAGGAAGTACATTATATCAAGAGAAGCAAGCAAATTATATTAACATGATGTATAAAGGAAACAATTTAGTTTTTTAATTCTAGGTTGCCATTAATTATAAGACAAACTATCAAGTAAATATATTTTTGAAAAATAAAAGTATTACCACCATAAGATAGTCTGATGGATTTCAAGGTATGAACTATTTATTTATTCTTTTATTGTGCATTAAGTGGTAGTTTACATGGGAAAACATCAGTTTTGCACTCATCCTATCATATTTCGTATCATTGCAATGATTACAACGCCCTCCATGCATCACCATTCAACAGTATTTGCTTAGTCCCTCTGTTATTTATTTATTTTGGGATGTACACAAAAACACTCAGGAATATATAATCATTTAAATAACCAAAGGGCACATTCTGCAATCCTGCCTCCTGGCCACAAGCACACAGCCTTTCTCTTTCTGTGTGTCTAAATTCCTCAACTGTTCTATCTCTCAATGTCATCATCTCTTCCTTCATCTTTAGTGTTGCTGCTTCTCTGAATAGGGTACCACATTCTGCTCATGCTCTTCTCCCTTAATGGTCCTAGGGTCCTCTGTTCCTGGAATTTAAGATTAACTACTCCCCTCTTTATATTACAAAAGTTCTGCCTTTACAATTATGACAGTCACAATTAGTCATGATAACAGTTGCTCACTATTGAATCATAAGAACCTTATCCCCATCTCCTTTCATCAGACCCATAGAAACTAGACAACATAAAAACTATTCACTGGCGATTCTAGCTTACCCGACACCCTGAAACTAAACTCCGCCTTAAAAACTTGTAAGCCAGCTACTTTGTGCCTATAGCCCCAATCCCCCTCCCCCATTTTAGGTAAGCAATGTCTAAGTTGCCCATCCTTATCAATCCTGTGTACAAAAGGGATAGTTTTGATCCTTGATGGAAAGACTCCGTCCCTGTCGGTTGGTATTTTGAGCTACTACATCTATAAGTATAGGTGAAAGTTCATCAAATTGTAGCACTTTACAATTGTTTCATTTATCAACTCTCTTGATCTTCCTCTATTTAAGTTCTGATCATCAAGCCATCGAAGCTAGGTCAATTGGGTATTATCTGCAAGTTTGAGCGTTCTTGTGCGTCTCCCTTCACTTCAGATCAGCAGGAAGCTTCACTGTAGCTCTAGCCCTCTGTGAGTAGGTCTTTTTTCACGAGCTTAGAAGACCTTAGATCTTACCACTCAGATCTTACCACTCAGAGCATCCACTCACTGAGGCACCCACCCCCAAGTAACCAGAGTGGAGGTGCACAGAATGTGACAGGCCAATGAGCAGGAACAAGTTTATACCTTTGTCTTCAACGATTGGTTAGATCTCTGCAGTGGGAGTGCTCCTCTGATCCTGCTCTTGCAGCTGCAGATCAGGAAACACCAAGTTTCTTGATTCTGCTACAAATCCCACTAACAGTAAACTTTCAATCCTTCTAAATATTCCTTTATATGTAGTTCAGAGTTCTGGGACTGCCCCCTGAGCCTGCTTCATCCATCTTCTGTGTCATTACTGTAGGAGGTTTGCACCACATTTCTCCCTACTCCACCATCAAGCCCTGCCCCCTGAACTCTAGTAAACTAATACTTTTAAATACCTATTATTTACAAGAATTTTTAAATGTTATGTTATGTTTATATCTTAAGCGCGAGGGCTTCTATCATGGAGGGCGGCGGTTAAATGATGTGCGACAAATGCACAGATCTAGTGGAGGTGTTAAATGAAACCCAGACCACGGAGCAGCGGGGTGAGAGGTGTCTGGAGACCAGGTCAATGGGGAGACGCTGCCTAACAGGAAGAGACTTCAGGGGCCGGTCAGGTTGTCCTACTTACCCCGGACGCGAGAGAGCCTTCTTAGCCTAACCGTTGGATCATGGCTTTGAGGCGGGGTCGACCGACCAACTTAGAGACCCACAAGCCCAGCCCAAAGCGTCTCTCTACAACCCAGTCGCCCCTGCTGCGCTTCTGCTTTGAGCCAGACTTAAGGGCCCTAGCACAAGAAGATTCCTATTTAACAGCAACCACGCAACCGCCACTCCTCTGGCTGTCATGCTGTGGAGGTTTGAATTGCTGTGATTCTGAGGGCTATGCCACCGGTATTTTAAATAACCAGCAGGGTCACCCATGGTGGACAGGTTTCAGATGAGGTTCCAAACAAAGACAGACTAGGAAGAAAGAGTGACAAACTACTTCCGAATCGCTAGTCACTGAAAACTCTATGAATAGCAG